AAAGAATCCGCCTGCAGTGCAGGAGGCGAGGTTTCAATCCCTGGTCGGGCGGTCCCCTGGAGAGGAGAATGGCAACTCACTCCAGTATTCTTGCTTGGGAAGCCCCATGGACCGAAGAGCATGTTGGGCTGCAGTCATGGGATTGGCAAGTGTCAGACATGACTGAACAACTGAGCACACAGCTTATGAAAATGCGGTTATCGTTTGGAAATTATGTGGCTATATTCTTTTTACTGGAGTAGAGTTGACTTAGTGTGTCTTGAATGGATTCTTCCTCTCTGAAAGTCTTCAGCCCCCTGGTTTACACCCTGTATCCCTGATGGGAAACTTTTTGCTTGCCTCCGACTTTGTTCCCTTGCAAAGCCATCCTTCTCCCTGAGTTGTTCTCAGTCTATGTATCATGCTTATATACCACCTGAAATGTATTTACTACATATTTATTACCTCAAAGACAAATAACAGCACCAGAGCTTAATATCCACTGAAAATTTTTCTCTCTCTCTAAAATTACCCTCATTTCTACCCACTATAGCCAAATTAAGATTAACTGTTTGCAAAATGAATCCAGTTTCAATACACTTGGTCTGATTATTTAGATAAGTATAATTAATCATATAGATTCTTTTAAATTGAATGCCCTGAACTTCTCATCAGGAACCTGAGATTAAACTTTGAGAGGCCAATACAGGTCAGGAAAGCAATGCCAAGGACTTGCCATCAAATTCACCTGTAGGACCTATAGATTTGGGTGAATTCTTCTCTTCTCAATGTCCCTGAAATATTTTGACATTCCTGTACCTACCAGGAGTGGCCTTCCTTATTTACCTGGTAAGGCTGCTGGGAACCTTGTAGGCAAGGTAGCAGAGTGTTTTCCCAGGGGAATTTATGACTCCATAAAGTACACTTTAGTTCTTTAAAACTGGTCACATATGATTCAATGCATATTCTCAAATATGACATTCCAGTCAAAGTCAGTGTTTCCAGTTTGTCCTGTTATAGGAAGAACAGATTCTTATTGAACTTATGCAAACAGTTTTATTGCTATAAAGATAAGAATACTCACTAAGAGTTTCCAAATTCTGGGAGGATCAGGTAGAGAGAAAAGTTCAGTGATTCAATTTGCTTACAAAGGTGTACTTTATCAAATTACTGTAACGTCATAATTGGCTTAAAGGAAAAGATTTCCTTATACCTAGAAAACAAAGATTAAAGCCAATAATATTTCAGACAAAAAGTCATGAATATTTTTATCCAGCCAGGTAACGAATCCTTGTTGATCTTGATCTTTTGTTAACAGTTTACGAAGCCAGCAGGTTTTTCATTAGGATTCTTTTGTTTGTTACCGAGTTCATGCATGAGTGAGTGCTAAGTGGTTTCAATTGTGTCCAACTCTGCAACCCTATGGACTGGAGCCCGCTAGGCTCCTCTGTCCATGGGATTCTCCAGGCAAAAATACTGGAGTGGGTTGCCATGCCCTCCTCCAAGTGATCTTCCCGACCCAGGGATTGAACTTGAGTCCCTGGTATCTCCTGCGTCAGCAGGCAGATTCTTTCCCACTGTAGAGGTATATGTTATTGTTCAGTCGCCTAGTCGTGTCCAACTCTTTGAGACCCCATGGACTGCAGCATGCTAACAATACCAGATACCAAACTTATTTTAACTCAGTTCATTGGCAAAGAAATACACATAAGGATAGTGAAACAAAACAAATTCATGTGCAGATGGGAATTTTATACATGATTTCAAATCTGAAATACAAAGGAAATTATTTTGACTATTGGCTTAGAATCCACTTAGAAATAAAGTTAGATTTATAAGTTTCACATTCATAAAATTGAACTGCATATAAATACATAAAATAGAACATTTAATAAACATTTTTAAAATTTAAAATAAATATTGGAATAAGATACCAATAACATCCTATGTGAGTAATCTTGTAGCCTTTTCTTCTATAAGATAAAAACAAAAGGGCATAAAAATAAGATAAATAAATGTGTGTAAGGCAGATAAATTTTTAAATAAAAATCTAAAACTTCATAAAGAAAAAACTATAAATAAACATAAAAGGAAGAAGTACTTTGAACACTTATAGCAGACTAAAAATTAACATTCAACTTTATAAAGAAATCAACAAAATAAATAAAAATTTAAGAAAGCTAACAGAAAACAAGCAAGATGTGGGTTGGCAAATCACTGAAGAGAAAATACAAATGTTCAAAAGATGCTCAGTTTTTTTTAAGTATGAAGAATATACAAGTTAAAATTTCAAGTTTTGATTATGAATTGTAAAAATCTATACAAAAGTAGAATAAATAATATGATGAACCTCCATATACTTAATAACCAGTTTCAGAATTTATCAATAAATATCCAATCTTATTTCATATAGCCACTCCCCTTCCCACCGATATTTAGATATATGTTTTATCATTTGATGTTGTCAATATTGGGGAAATGTAAAGAAATAAGTTTCTTCACATACAGCTGAGAAAAGTTGAAGTTGGTCTCCTCATTTTGTGAAGTATCTGTTGAATTTAAAAATGAAGATACGCTGAAACCTAAAATTATTGCTTTTAAGCCTTTGCCCTAGAGAACCTCTTGTGCATTTGCACAAAAAAGTGTGTAAAATGATTATTATTATTATTGTTTGCATAGAGAAAATTGGGAACAACATGATACCCAGAAAATGAAAAAATTAAACTATGGCACATCCATCCTGTGGACTGCCTTATGGCATTAAAAAGTGTGAGTCAGAGAGCTGAATGCCACCTTCTCCTTGCCGCCACCCTCCCTGGCCAGGTCGTGGTCCTTTGTGGACCCTGGCTGCCTTAGGTTGGAGGTGGCGCCTCTGCTCCTGGTCTGGAGCTAGTTTAGATGCAGGAGATTCCAGGTCTGCGTGGATCTGTGCACGCAGATGCTGGAGAAGTCCCTTGTACCAACTGGATCCTGTAAGCCCTGTGGTTCCTGGTGATAAGGCTGAGGGCTCTGGGGGTAGAGGGTCCCCTAGAGGGGTGTCCAGAGAGGAGGGCCTGGGGATTGATTGTGTGGTCAGCATAGGCACCCAAGAGTGAGAATGAGTGTGTGGTCAGCACAGGCACCCAAGAGTGAGACCCTCTGGAGACCAAAAACAAAAGGCTCCGGGGGTAGAGGGTCCCCTAGAGGGGTGTCCAGAGAGGAGGGCCTGGGGATTGATTGTGTGGTCAGCATAGGCACCCAAGAGTGAGAATGAGTGTGTGGTCAGCACAGGCACCCAAGAGTGAGACCCTCTGGAGACCAAAAACAAACAAAAAAAATATGTGAGTTAGATAGATTTAATAATGTGCAAAAATACCCAAGACATATTGTTGAATGAGAGGAAGAAGTTGCATAATAATACACATGCTATAATATCATTATTTAAACAAAAATAATGAAAAGAAGCCAAATAACTTTTCTATCAACCGATCAATCAATAATCTATGTATCTGTCAACCTGTGGCCTAGAATGGTATAAAACAATCTTCACAAATAATAATAATGGTTATTTCTGGAGAAGAGTGTGAGATGGGTACTCACGAAAGATTCTTTAGAGTGTTTTTATAGGAATACATTTATAATTTACTTATGTAATTAAATAAATACTGTTATAACAAGAATTAAGAACAGTGGGTTAATAGAACTAGGTTTGGATCTGAGCTCTATCACTTATTATATGTTTGACCTGGATCACTCACTTGTCAAATTGGTATAACTTCATATACTTTGTGGAGATTCTATGAGTTTTAAATGAGCTAGTGTCCAGGAGGGCTTCTCAGGTAGATCAGAAGTAAAGAACTCACCAGTCAATGTAGGAGCTGCAGGTTTGATCCCTGGGTTGGGAAGATGTCCTAGGGAAGGAAATGGCAACCCCCTACAGTATTCTTACCTGGAGAATCCCAGGGAAAAGGAGCTTGGTGATCTACAGTCCACGGGGTTGTAAAGAGTCGGGCACAACAGAGCAACTGAGCACATAAACATGTAGTGTCCAGGAAGGAATCTGCAATCCAGAGCAGGTAATCAGCTGAAGATAACCAGCGTTGTTTGCACTCTATTAAATCAATTTTAAATCTCAAGTAACTAAGTGATGAAGTATTTCTTCTCATTAGATTGCATCTGCTCCCTAGATTCATAAGCGCAGTGACCCTGATTAGATTCATAAGAGCAGTGATCCTGATGTTGATTCTGGTGTCTGGTATACAATAGGCATTCAACGATGTTTGTACATTAATATGGTACCTGTCTTTTCCACCAAAAAGAACTGCTGTCCTGAGTTCTGGAGTTCTATTTCCAGATCCTACCACATATCTTCATCTTGGTTCTGGGTAGGCACCTCAAACTGAACATATTTTAAAACCATACTTATTATGTCTATCTACACACCTTCACCTTCTCTTATATTCCTTTTATTATGACATCTAGTTTATTGATAAAAAGTCTTCAGTACTTCTTACTGTCATTCCCCTGTAGACTTTTTAACTTTGATGACAAATATTGAACTTTAAGATTTATTTTGTTCACTTTGTTTTATATTCTTATTTTTTATGCACTTTAAATATTGCAGGGAATCAGTGGGCCTTTCCAAATTCAAGGAGCCATATTTTTTTCTCATATTTGAGAACTATATACCATGAGCTCTTAGGAATTATATCCTCTCCATTTTATTTTCTTCCTTCTTTCTCCTGGAATAGGACTTTCCCCATCTCTTCAGTGTTCAATCCTTTGGACCATCTCTTTGTCTCACACTGCTCTATTACAGATGAGCTCTCTGGACCATCTATTTAGCTGAGCATACTGTCATCTACCATTTAAGCTGTGAGTTGAATTTTTTATTTCAATGACTATTTTTCATTTTTAGAATTTATATTTGGTTCACTTTCTAATATGTCTAATTGTTTTTTATGATATCTTGTTTTACAAAACTCATATATTCTTTTTTCTTTAAAAACTTTTAAATAGACATTTTACAGTGTTATTTTAAAGTCTCTTCTGACAGCTCCCCTTTTCTCGGAATCTTCTGAGTGTGAATGTTCCCATTTGTCTTGTCTGCTGTCTCTCATGGCAGCGGGCTTCTAGTTTGATCTGTGGTTTCAGACTGTGAGGTCATCTTCAGTAGAGGCTGCCTTCCATGCCCCAGTGTGAGCTGTGAGTTTCAGCTTTCCCACATAACGGTTCCTGTTCGGCTCTGCTCACTGTGCCATTGATTTTCCTACTTACGAACCAGTACTTCTCTCTTCCCCTTTTATTTTTAATAAGATTTTTGGCTCAAAATTTTGTGCCCCATGTTGAGACCTCAGCCTGGTGTAGGTTCACCCTTCGGGCAGGTCTGGATTCTGTCTCTCACCAGGAGCTCTCTATCCACATTCAAGAGCAGGAGTCCTGCTTCCAATTTGCATCCTGTAGCCAATGGGGGGGGGGGGGCGGCGGATTGGAATCAGGCCCCCACATGAAGCCAAGAGATTTCTGTCCCAAAAGGACATTCCCCCTTCATTTTAGAGCTCACCTGTATATTTTTACAAAAGCTACTGTTTGTCCAAATGCATATATTTCAGTGTGTTTGACTTGGAAGAGAGTGTTTGCTGCTTGTTTGGAAGCCTTGTTTATGTTCTTCCTTTCTTTGGGTGCATTACTATTACCCCAATGCCAGAGCTGGAAAACATAGCTTTCCTGTGGCCGTAGTCTCTACACTGGCCCTTTAAATATGTCTGGTTTCCTTTTATGCCTTTTCATGTATTTGCTGTCTCCACTGTCTGATGCAGTCTGGGCCCCTCAGCTCTCTCGTGTGCCGTGACAACGTCCTTTTCACTGGTTTCCGTGCTTCTCACCTGCCCTCTTCCAGTCATTGCCATGTGACCACTGGGGTTACCTTTCCAAATGCAAATCTCATTGTGCCAATTCTATGTTTAAACCTATTGTTTCCTTTCTTCATATTAGAAGTTAAACTACCTTGATTTTACTGAGTTTTATGCACTGACATTGCCATGTTCACACTCATATTTCTGCAAAGTCAGAATATATTCAGTTCCTAGATCTGCCCATCCATTATATGCCTCTATTCCCATACATATGCCCTTTTCCTGAAATGCCCTTAAAATACTGCTTTCCCTCTGTTTATTTATTGTAATCATACCTGAAAATGCAGCTTAAATATTACTTATTTTGTGAAGATTTCCTAACTAGCCCCACATCTGATGCATAGTAGCCATTCACTCTTAATAGCTGCATTTGCTTTGCTTCCTATATTCAAGCTCAGTCAGTTCAGTTCAGTTCAATTGCTCAGTCATATCCAACTCTTTGCGACCCCATGAATCGCAGCACGCCAGGCCTCCCTGTCCATCCCCAACTCCCGGAGTTTACTCAAACTCATGTCCATCGAGTCAGTGATGCCATCCAGCCATCTCATCCTCTGTCGTCCCTTTCTCCTCCTGCCCCCAATCCCTCCCAGCATCAGGGTCTTTTCCAATGAGTCAACTCGTCGCATGAGGTGGCCAAAGTATTAGAGTTTCAGCTTCAGCATCAGTCTTCCCAATGAACACCCAGGACTGATCTCCTTTAGAATGAACTGGTTGGATCTCCTTGCAGTTCAAGCGACTCTCAAGAGTCTTCTCCAATACCACAGTTCAAAAGCATCAATTCTTCTGCGCTCAGCTTTCTTTTTTTTTTTTTTAAAAAGAAATTCTGTTTATTTATTTATTTATTTATTTTTTCCATTTATTTTTATTAGTTGGAGGCTAATAACTTTACATCATTGCAGTGGTTTTTGTCATACATTGAAATGAATTAGCCATTCTTTACAGTCCAACTCTCACATCCATACATGACCACTGGCTCAATGTACACAATTTCTTCAGACATCCTTTGTGTAATTGTCTACCCAACCCCTTATTATCTTTAATGCTTTTGTCTTTTGAAAACCCCCAACTTTCTCTCTAAGTGTGGCACTCATAACACCGCTCTACAGGAGGTTTTCTAGTAGGGGCAGATTCCATGCCTGGGGCCCTTCACTTCCTCTCCAGTCTGTGAGTCGGTCTCATATATTGTCACTCACTTAGCCTTGAGGTCCGTGAGATCTGTGGTAGAGGCCTTTTTAAAAACGACTTTAGTTTTTAGAGCAGTTTTAGGTTTATCGCAAAATGGAGAGCAAGGCACAGGGACCTCCCATTTACACCCTGCCTCCCCACAAACAGTCTCCCCATTATCAGCATAACTTACTAGATGGTGCAATTTTTACCAAAATGAACCTGTATCAACAAATCAGAATCACCCAAAGCCTATTAGCTTAGGGCTCACTCTTGGTATTGTACAGGCTATGGGTTTGGATAAAAGTATAGTGACATGTATCCATCACTGTAATATCATACAGAGCATTTTCACTGCCCCCAAAATTCTCTGTGCTCAGCCTATTCATCTCTCCCTGGAGACCATTTGAGGACAGATGGAAGAGTTCCCAGAGTCTACATTGCATAAAGCATAAAGGAGTGCATAAGAGTAAAGATGGAAATGGAAACCACAGGGCTTATTGAAGGAATAATGTTCTAGAAATCAGTGGGGAGACTGTAGTCCTAACTCTGCCATATCTCACTAGATGACTCTGGGCAGACAGTATAATTGCTCTGCATTTTTATTCTCTACCTAATAAAATACAGGGATTAGAACAGAGGATTAATATTGCCTCTTTAATCTGTAATTACTTTGTTAAATAGCCTAAAGTAAATTATTTGCATTGTAGGGGAAATTTTTTAAAAAAATAATAACTATCATGAGCTCTGTAAGAAAGAAATAGCTAAAATGGATAAGCCCCACTAGCTTTACTAGCAAGTAAACTTCACTGGGAGTGGGTCAACATATGACATTAGTAGAAACCGTTAAGCTATCAAGATACTATTCCCTATTAGATACACAAGCAGGAAATATAGAGGCTTCAAAATATGTAAAACTTTCAAGTTTTACACAAAATTTTTCTAAAGTAACTTGCATTTTAAATGTAACAAGTAGGCAGTTTTAACAATGAAGTGAAGCCAGTATAGTACTAACCTTAGAGAGTAAGGAATCTGACTTACACTAGTAGACATCTCTATCAAGTGGCCAAAGATAATGCAGTCTTCAGAACATGGATGATTTAACCTGAAAGAAAATACTGCTGTACTTAGCATAAGCATATGGGCTTCCCGGGCGGCACAATGGTAAAGAATCTGCCTGCCAATGCAGGAGAGGCACGTTTCATCCTGGGTTGGGAAGGTCCCCTGGAGGAGGAGATGGCAACCCACCCCGGTGTTCTTGCCTGGAGAATCCCATGGACAGAGGAGCCTGGTGCGCTACAGTCCATGCGGTCCCAGAATCAGATGCAACTGACCACAAGTCACAAGAAATAGCATAAGTGTATATAAAATTAAGTAAACATATTCGCACTTAACCATTATGGTAAAGCAAAAATTCAAGAAATCCCAGCAGATATAAATAGCATGAACAGGATTAGCAGTGGACCCTAGGTTTATTGTAGAAAGTGAGTGAGTGAAAGTTGCTCAGTCATGTCCAACTGTTTGTGACCCCATGGACTATACAGCCCATGGAATTCTCCAGGTCAAAATACTGGAGTGGGTAGTCTTTCCCTTCTCCAGGGGATCTTCCTAACCAAGGGGTCGAACCCAGGTCTCCTGCATTGCAGGCACATTCTTTACCAGCTGAGTCACAAGAGAAGCCCAAGAATACTGGAGTGGATAGCCTATCCCTTCTCTAGTGGATCGTCTCGACCCAGGAATCAGGGTCTCCTGCATTGCAGGCAGATTCTTTACTAACAGATAAAACTGCTCCTAAATAATCTCTAGGACTCTATCCGTTGTATCAGTGACAATAATCTGAGTTGTGAAAGTATGTTTATGAAAAGTTGATGTGTCTGTGAATTGTGTTCTGAAGATGAAGGTAAATATATGGCAACATAGGGTGATCCTTTAACAGTTGCCAGATCATAACGACTGTGCCAAGACAGTCATCAGAAATTAAATCCTCTGCTAAGAATGATTTAGGACACCCATCTAAACAGGACCTTGTGAGGCAGCTTTGTTCCTGGAAGGAAACTAGTACACATGATTTGAGGGGGATGACTCCAGTCCAGCATGAAAAAAATCTGCACCAGATTTGAAAAATCACCCCACCCCCCTGTGCAAGTAAGATGCTAAGAAGCACAACTGCTCTTGGAATCTGAGTCCCTGTGGTGAGGGAGCTGTCAGAGGGGAAGGGGCAGAGATAGCATTCAGGTGAGACTGAGACGCCGGCTCCCCCCTGAGTCAGGCAGGGCTGGGAGCCAGAGCTGGACGGGACCAGACCAGCAGCAGCAGGTCGGGGCATGTCCTCCAGGGCAGCATGGCGCTACGGACAGTTAACCACCTTCTCCTCCTCTGCCTTAGTCTCCCACTGCTCATCTCCATAAAAAGTGAGTCTTTTCTGCTTATTGAACTTTTGGCACTTTTCCTGGCTTCCAAATGTTTCATGGGAATAGTGTGTAGTGTGGCACGTTCTGCAAAATACAAGGCTTTTTTAAAAAGTAAAAAGGAGTTGGTGTTAGCAAGCGTCTTGTGTTGAATCAGTGGGACCAGCCAATGTGAACAGTTTTCAGATTCTATGATTTCCAATAAGTATTGTTATAGAAAATATTCTCGCCCTTTGAATGGTGAGCACGAGATTGAAATGGTCACATAGAGAAGTTGTTTTGTTGTGTTTATACTTTTATAGACTAGATTTGGCACTTTGATATAGTCTAAAAAGAACTTAATCATAGGCTATACAGCATTTTATCCCCAATGCTGTGTATCTCCACTTTTAAAGGACTTTGTGTTTCAACAGTTGCTCTCACAATGAAGGGGATAGAACCTCAATTTTCCCCGAAGGATAATGGTTCAGAGGAATAGGCTTCCTTTCTATCGTATGTGCTTCTGTTTTATCTATCATAGTCCACCAACTTCCCCAAATGAAAACAAGAGTAATGTTTTCTGAGATAGTCTTGTCAGATATATGGCAGTCTGGAAAATCAGAGGAGACCAACGTCCTCAGCTGTGTGTTTATGCAGGACAGTAGCTATTGAACACATTCAAAAGGAAGCAGGCAGAGTGCGTGCTCCTCAAAGGGGCCATGTGATTTGTGTCTGCTGA